CAGTTTTGTTTTGCGGAAAATTGAATTCGAAATAGAAGATCCTCTTTGGAGGTTGTTCGTACTTTGCTAAGAAATTGATTTTTCTTTTTTTCTTTCTTTTTTAATGCTTTTTAATTTTTTATTTCGTTTTTTCTCCAACTATAAATAAGCTATAAATAAATATCTATTCGACGAATATCGTATCTAAAGAGTTGAAAATTATCCACGGAATATAGGCAAATAATATTATAATAAAAAATATATACGAGAAATAGTGGCAGTAGAACAGGATTTATTCGTCGTTAACATCGATTATCGAGGTCTCGATGCGATGGCCGATGAAATACTTGGCAGTCGACACTCTCTCCCTTCCTACGAATATCAATTTCTTCCGTGAGCTTCTAGGTAGGTTCAACAGGTATGCCGAATAAAAATTCAACTCCTCGCGGATCTTTTATTTTCTTTTATTTTTATTTCTTTTTATTTTCGATCCAATTAACGTAACAATCGAGACCGGACTCTTTGAGCGTCTTTAACGAGAACACTCGAGTTAATTGCATGCACGCTCCGCTCCGGCCGACTTAATGACGCCAATTTCGAGCCTTCTGCTTTCTTTTTCGCGGTGGAACGAGATTCGCGTTAAGCGAGCATTCGAGAGGAAACGTATTTTCGTAGAGAGGCAAGTTCGTTCTTAGCCGACGATTCGAACACACGCCGAAATATTAATGGATAATTCTTTTCGAATTCTCTCGACGTTACGAAGTAACGAGAAAGTGTCGAGTATTCGACCGTTAATCTTCGCTACGTTTGAAAGAACAGCTGTCGTTAAGAAAGTTTGGATCGTCAAAGATCACGCGACTCACCTCGTGGTAACTGGAAAATAACCTGGTATTGGCAACAAATGCGGTATCTCGTCGCGTGACGGCAGCGTCCTTGTCGAAAGTAACAGCAAAGAGCCCTGTTTTTCGATTATTCGTTCAAACACACGATGATCCGTGCATTTTGCTTATATCAGGGCACGTTTCGCCTCGACGTGTACGTAAACTCGCGTAATAGCGATGTTGTTTCGAGTTTACTCGACGTTTGTGCTCATTCGATAACGTGTTACTATCTGAAATGTTGATTGAATAGAGCTATTGCGATAATCTAACCTAACCTAACCTAATCTCTGGATTTGATAGATTCGAACTTTAGATGCGAATATTACGGATAATTCATCCAAAATGAAGATTCGAAAGTGAACAAAGAGCCCCTCTATTTTCGACGAAGTGGCAATAACTTTTATATATTGAGTAATAAACTTGTCCAATAACAAATGAACAATCGTATGATAGATATTATTTTGTCGTATAATTACACTGTCATGCGATTTATAATTCGTTATTTTAATAACCGGAGAATTAATTGAATTCAACTGTTAATCAAATATAAATAAATATAAAATAAAACTTTCGTATTGTACGGGCGAATCGAACGGACTTTAATTGCACGTTCAACGTCATCACTCTTCGCGATGGCACGAAAGATGGTGCCACTCTCCAATATTCTCCTATAGACATCGCGTAGAATTTGCTGCGAAGGAACGATTGAAAATTGACACGATAAACCGACGTAGCTCCTTGCTAATATCGATATAGAAACACGTGGCTGAATGACCACGGTATAAAGGCCCCCCTTTAACGTTATTAGCAAATGTTGCTTGCCTTGTTATCGTATTATAACGTTAAGCCGGGGAACGAACGTGCTTGCCAAGTATAATGATCAACGCTAACGAACCGAAAAGAGATATACACGTGGAGATATTTCAAAGCGACACAGCCTGTGTACGCACGTAATTGCAAGGGAAATACGTGATTCGAGAATTTCGCTCTAAATTCGTCGAGGGAATTCCATCGGCCGATTTTCACGGATGCGGACGTATCGTTGAATCGCATAACTGTTCGGTACTCGACCAATCGTTGATTCGTTCATTTTTGAAGTGGCGGGACATCCTGGTACGCCAGCTCGAATTGTTTTCAACGGTATTCGGAGGGAAAGCGACAGGTATTCGCCGCGAAAACGATGCTCGGAATTAAATAATTCAACGAGTAATTTTGACGAAACGGGTGTGCAGCTCGAACCTCGAGGATATATGCGTGACCTCTGTTACCTTTGAATAATAGGTAGAATACTTCTACCGTCGATTTCGATCAATTATATTCGTTTAATAATCATCCTATTGCGATATTTCCAATTTTGACCGAAAATGAAATCGTTCCCTATCGTTCGTGTTTGTATTTAATATTTTCCTTCGAATGGAGGAAGGAGGGGAGGAAGAAAAATCCGATCTTTTACGCGATGTCTGTAATCTTTCAAATGATGCCAAAACTATCTCTTCGTTCAATTATTCGATAATTAATATTGAAATCTTTATACTTTCACTCGTAAAATTCCTTTGTAATCTTTAATATTTTCGAATAGAAAAATCGATCTTTTACGTTTCTATGATTATATACGTCGTATATGTGTGACCTCTGTACTTTTGAATAGCGCTTAGAATACCTTTACGATTCAACATTTGCTCACGTATTCTTTTTCTTTTTTAAATGAAATAAAAATCATACTTTCACTCTGTACCATAAAATTCGTTTCCATCATTAAAATTCTCTTTCTTTCGAATAGAAATTCAATGTTCTCTCTGTTACAAGTTGTCTTGTTCAATCAACTTGTCAAGATTCATCAACAATTACATTCACGGTTCGATTTTCTTTTGATCCAGTTTTTCCACGATCTGGAAATTCACATAATAACTCGAGCAAAGAAATTGCCGAAAACTGGATTAACCGAATATCATAAAATTCGTTAAAATTCTCTTTCTTTCGAATAGAAATACAATGTTCTCTCCGTTACAAGTTTTTCACGATCTGGAAATTCACATAATAACTCGAGCAAAAAAATTATCGAGAACTAACCGGATGAACTGGAATAGCTAAATTTCGTCGACGATTCCAATGGATCTTTTTCTCTCGCGAAAATCTCCCATCTAAAACGGGATTCCAACGTGCAAACGTGCATTCCTCGCGCGCGTGAACTGTAAGGACACGTCTCTGAACGAGAAAACCGAATCCTCCAAGATGGCGGGGCGTGTTATGCGACACGATGCAGGCGTGTGCACAAACGCCATCTGCCCCGATCTCGCGTTACCCGCATTCCGTCGAGCCAAGCACCATTTTTAATCCAATGTATTGTTGTTGGTATTCGATGTCGACGATTTCGTCCTCCAATTAATCCCCTTCGTTCTCCCTTCTTTTATTTCCTCGCTGCGAGAAATTACTCGTCTCGTTGAATCAAAGGAGAGAGAATTTTGTGGCTTCGAGCTTCGAGAATCAAGTTGAACAAAAGGTTATGTTCCTAGCGATCCTCCAGCGTATAAAATGGAACGCGTGTCGAGTGTCGAACGACGAGCAAGGTCGCTTTTTCGACTCAATTTTCTACTCGTATCTAGTTGAATTTAATAGTCTCTTAGATTTCATCTTGGACTCGTTCCCTTTCTTCGCTTCTTTCCACGAATTCTCCTGAAAGAGCGCGCTGCACGTGTCGCAAAGCAATTAAACATTCGCGACCCATTTGCCAACTGAGAGTACTAACTGTGATTAGTAAGATGATCAAGACGGAACGTTTTTATTAGCGTAATTGTTTGCGATTGTTGAGATTTCCTTGACAAAGATTGCTAATCTTAAGAAAATTGCTCCGAGATCCTCAAGTTTTTCTACAAATAAATTACATATAAATGAAATTCGGACTAATAATATTACTATATATACGTTCTAATTTTACTTGCACTTTGATATAATCTCATCCACGGTCACATTAACCACGAAGAATCGATCAAACGTCGTAGCTTTCGCTAATATAATATAATCACTCACATAATATAATAATCAATAATATGATATAATATAAACATTTCCAACTTTTCTTTCTCTCCACTGTGCCCCTGTGAATCTTCCTTCCATCTAATTTAGCCTAATCTAAATATTGTGCTTCTATTTTACAGAGAGATGTCATCGAGAAGTCGACGAGCGAGTTCATCGACAAAGAGCAGGTGACTAGCATGGTGGCGCGGGATGTCGTCGACGACATCAGGTACGACGGATTCGCCACCTCCACTCCGCGAAAGGAATCGCCAGAGCGGCCCGGCTACCCCCGCGGAATCCCCGGATTGCGGGAAGAGAAACCGATCCCAGCCGCTGGAAAACCGAGCCGACCACCATCGCAACAGAGGGAACGGAGCCCCGTGG